GTAATGAAAAACCCTTTTGCCCCATCCTCTTGTCGTAGTTCTCGTCTACGTCTACGTCGTTGGGAAAAATTGCGACGATCATTTGGCACTATTCCAAAATTACTCGAGGCACGAGTTTTAAACTACTACGCTATTTAAAATTCTCTACGTACTCGAGGGTGGGTGGGGAAAAGAGGGGGGGAGTTAGTAGTGTACACGTTAAAAGTAACAAAAATTAGTCTGGCTCGTCATATATTGCTTAACAATAACATGTTTTAAAGATTAAATTAAGATTTTAATAAATAGAAGACTATTTCTCTCTCTCTCTCTCTCTTTCTGAAAACAAATATTTTCTTCACAATTTAATCGGAATTTTTTTTTCTTTTGTAAACATCTCAATACTCGTGTTCGCAATTGAAAACGTTTGCAAGCCAATGAATTAAAAGTATTTATAGAAAAATAATAATAATTAATTAATATCATATATATATACACAATAGAAAAAGATTACAAAAATTTGAATTTATTCAAAGTTTTCCTTTTTTTTTTTGGAATATCAAATGCGTGCGATGACTGTGACTATAATTATACGAATTAACTAACGTGATTTCATTATCACTACTGATCGATCGAAAACGTTTCGTGTTTTTACGCTACGAAGAAATAATGGAAAGATCAATCTGGAAATATTTTCAGATTGAAAAATGCAATATAGGGAATTTGGTTATAAAAAAAAAAAAAAAAGAGGATTATTGTCACGCGTGCTTCTATCTAAACCTTTAATCATAATTCCACATACCTATTACATTCGCGTGAACGAACGGAATAATCGCATAAACTAAAAAAAGAGAGAGAGAGAGAGAGAAAAATACAAAACGTTTGCACTTGAGCTTATTAGTTAAACGACGAGGAGGGACTCGCACGATTTAAAATCGTCTCGCTTTAATGCATCTCTGCAATTATTTTTTCTTCTTCTTCTTTTTTTTTTTTTTTCATCTCTGTCACTCTCTCTTTCTCTGTAACAAATACACGCGCGAACACACATTTTCATTCACCCCACCCATTTCCCATTTAGGTGGCAACGCATATGTAAATTTTTAGTCTTTCCAATTCTCTCCCACACACATACATACATACACGTATTTCTACTCCCATATAAGGTTGAAGAAATGTGTGTCTTATTGCTGCGTAATAAGAATCTTTTATCTCAATTATATCGAATACACATACACGCGCGCTTATAAATATCTATAGATATATATATATAGAAATACGTAGGTAAACTTGGAGCCACGCCCGTGAAAATGAAACTTCTTCTCAAACTTCTCGTCTTGAAAATAATTTGTCAAGTTAACAAAATGTTTAATACATATATATATATATATATATCTTTGAACAAATTTTGCTGCTATTAGGATACTCATTCGGTACCTTCTAATATATCGATTTATCAAATCGAATTATCGAACGTGTCGATTCTTACCAACCATCGATGAGAGTTTGCGACAATCTCGAAAACACCTTTTTTTTTTTTTTTATTAGAAAGAGAAAGAAAAGGTACAAACGAAATACCGGGTGTGTGTTGTTGCTCGGCAGACGCCTATCGCTTATCAGCATCTACACACTTGATAACGGAAATAACCAAGTAGTGTTAAACTGGTCACACACACACACACACACGCTAGGCTTATCATCGTAACGTTGAAAGAAAATGGACCTTTCATATTCCCGTAGTAGTCGATCGTGTTATAAGCCCTGAACAGCACACTTCTACCAACATTTGTATTTTTCTCTTTTCTTTTTCCCCCCCTTCATCACTCTCTCTCTCTCTCTCTCTCTCTCTCTCTCTCTCTCTCCCTTACTTTTCCTATCTATCACTCTTCTTCCCTCCACTTATTTCCTATAATTTCCAATAAAATTCGATTCTCGGTCGGTAATACAGGAACAAGACAAATTAAAAAGAAAATTCACGGAATCGCGTTAAAAATTGCATAAAAATTTTCTTTTTCTACACGTTTTAGATACATTTAAAAAAGTCAAAAATTATAATATCCCCATAGAGAGGGAGAGAGAGTGAACAAATAAAAAAAAAAGAAATAAAGTGAGTTCATTGCTATCGTCCCTCTCTTCCGGACGTGTTTTTTTCTTTTTCTTTTTCTTTTCCTTTTTTTTTTCTTCTTTTTCACGCGTCGTTGATAGCATATGGGCGTGTGGTGTTCTCAGTGAAAACGTATGTATCTCTCTCTCTCTCTCTCTTTCTTTTTCTTTTTCTTTTTCTCATGTGTTGTGTACGGGGTGTGGTGTAGTAGTAATATTATAATTATTATAATTGTGTCGTGTCATGGAGGAAATTACTACACACGTAAAAGGTGTCTCGATATAAGTTTCTAGCTTTTCAGTAACACATACGAACGATTAATAATTTAATAATATGTTGTGCAACAGACTTTTTTTTACCAAGATACAAAAGTTTAGTACTTTCGAAAAGTGTACAAAAATATCGTTGATTAACATTGTCTCTTTCTCTACGTATGTGTGTGTGTGTGTGTGTGTGTGTATTAGTAAACCAATCACAAATGTCTTTTCATATTCTTCAAAATGTCGGAGGGGAACGAAAAAGCAAATTTTATTAATTGTAGGTTTATTAAAGTTTTTTTTTTCTTTTCTTTCACGCTATTTATCGAGTATTTTTACCTGTTATATGTATATACGGTTCAATTGAGGGAGGGGGAAGGGGCAGGGGGGTACACAATTTTTTTTTTCATTTCACATCAGTAAAATTGAACTTCATTTTGTCCTATCTTTATCTCTTTCTCTCTCTCTCTCTCCTCTTACTTTCTTTTCTTTTCTTCTTTTTCAATATTTTTGCATTCGATATCGTTGAATATATTTCGTTTAAATCAAACTTCCAACGAACGGGTGGGTCACGCCCACACTTCCTACGTTCATTCTTCGAGTAAGATACCAGTTGATAGAATGTTGTCTGTGTTCCCGTTAAGAAAGGTGTTGTCGGCCATTAAATGAATAATTTCTCTTAGGAAAAAGAAGAAGAAGA